CATGGTCATTAAGCGATTCACATGATTGTTAAACAAAATTCAGTTTCTCCAGTTGACTTTGGTTGCCAGAACCTGGCTGGGAAGATGGCAAATCACAAACGTCGTAAATGCGAGTTGGTTGCCAACTGCCCTAATTGTGATCATGTAACTATGGGAGGATAACATGATGGTCATCATTTTGAGGACCAGCCGTTACTTTTTCAGAAGCCATCATAACTTTGAACCAAAGTTAAACCAAATGGTCATACATCAGGAACCACCTACAGTAACTTATTTGTCAGATTTTTGAAAGTAGCTTTCAAGGCTTCTCAGGGAATAACCAAACTTGTTCAAATAAATGTACATTTGTTTTAATCAAAAAAGAAGAAAGCAAGCAAATGGAACTAGAAAAGAAGAAAAAATCCTATAAATACCCAAAATTAGAAAGGGTTTTTTAATTTAAAAAAATTAACATACATTTCACTATCAACATAAATAAAATATGTTTCATGAATACTACAGAGATAAAGGAGGAAAAAAACCTATTACCTCTCCCCTTTGTTTGCAAGAAATAATTTATATTTATGGAATGACTGATATTGGATCACATGAGGTACAAAATGCTATTGTGCTTTTAACAAGACAACATGATAGGTTGATATAAAAGCTGACTGAAGGAACATTTGATCAGCTGAGAGTTCTTAGCACCATAGATGCTTAATATAGAACTAAATTTCCTTTCCTTTCATTCATTAGTTATAATTTCAGAATGTCCTACTTTTGTTCTGATGTTGGGCAAAATAGAAATAATCCTGATTGCCATGCAGCTCGAGTTTCAATTTTACTGCCCAGCACAATCTATATGCCAATAAAACTATTGTATGTGTTTGCCTGCTTGTAACCTTTAACTGGGGAAAATGTGCATCCAGAATACGCAATTTTTTGAACCAAGGCAACTCAAATGGGTTAACTTACACAAGGCTAGGACTCATTACTCCAGTGGTTCCCAAACTTGGCAACTTTAAGACTTGTGGACTTCAACTCCCATAATTCTCTCTGCTGGCTGGAGAATTCTGGGAGTTGAAGTCCACAAGTCTTAAAGTTGCCAAGTTTGGGAACCACTGCATTACTCCCATGGTGATGGAATTTTGGGAAGTTGTGGCTGATACAGTTCCTCCACACTGCTATGGTCAATGACTGTCATTCCCAATGCTCCCTGACAGCTTCCCACAAGTTAATAGGGAAGCCAACAGGAAACTTAAAACTCAGTCATGATTGTCCACCAAATCTTTTACTTATGGGAAACTAGCAGGGAATGTTTGTAATGAGGAAGTAAGAAAATAAGGTTGCACATTGCCTGGATAACTCTTCCCCACCTGCACAATTTCCCCAACCTCTTGGCACTTGCACTGTGCCAATCACTTGACCCCCCCCCCCCAATGCAACTTCCCTGACCTACACAGCGTCCTTATGTGCCTTTCAGAACACTGGTTTTTATTAGCCTTTGGGCAGAGAAAAAATGGTAGGAACACCAGCTCTTGAAAGGCACAGAAGGCTGATCAGTTCCCAAGGATTTGGGGGTCTGTTCCTCCAGCACACAGGAGAATTTTCCTTCCCTGCACAGAGCGGGGGGGGGGGGGAGAAAACCTTGCTGTACCAAGGTAACAGACATCAAGTTCTCCATTTCCTTCACTTGCAAACCTTCCCTGCCAATTCCTCATTGTCTTTCTGGGGAAGTTGGCAGAGAAGATTGCAAACAGTAATCACATGATTGTAGGACACTTGACAACCAGTTGTAAATGTGAACAGATTGCCAAGCCCCTGAAATGTGGTCACATAACTAGGGGCAACACAATCATTTACAACAGCTGGTGATTGTTTACATTCCATAAAGCATCCGTTCTAAGGCTGTCATAAAGGAAACTCATAAAATCACTGGTCATAAGTTGAGGACTGTCTGTATCAATTGGCTTGTATCCTTGGGTTTTTACACCTTTGGATTATTTCCTATTGCAAACACCTTTCCTGGGTTTTTGGCAAGATGTAATTTAGAGAGCTTGATTTTATAATCATTGAGAAGCCAAAAATTCAATTTGCTGAACAATTATCATGAGAATGACACTGAAATATAATGAAGATGTGATGGGAAGACATTGCTCACATACTTTCAACAGGGCCATCTGTAAATATATTCAGTGAAAATAATACAGTTTTGATCCCTAGGCTACTCAGATCCCTTCTCTGAAATACACAAACAACTGAAATAGAAGAAAAAAACATTCTCTGCATTTTTAATCAGCAAAATAGGTATAAGAATAAACTATTGTCACTTTATTAAATATTAAGACCCTTTTTTAGTAGACAATTTACACATATAGTTCCAAATCTGACAATATACATTCTTGGAAAATATATTCAAATACTTTGCCTTCTTTAGACCAGAGTCAAAACATAGCGATTTCTCAGGAGACATTCATAAATCTCTTGCAATCAATAGACATCATTTGGCAGGCAGTTTTTTTTTTAAGCCCCTGAGAAGAATATTTTGTACTTACTATTAACATATAGGGTTCAGTATTCAAAATATGCTCACTGGAAAACACTTGTTATTTTTCCAGCAAGATCAACCAATTCATTTTTGAAGCAAGGCTTATTTGGCTTTTTAAAATGTGTTCCTTTCTAAATGAATCTGCCCCTTCTTTTTAACAAGGACTATTTCATCCTTTTATGCTTTTTCTTTCAAGTCATGTAACATTTTATTTTTGTTTTGCAGAAGAAAAAGTAGCAGGATTGCCAAAGGAAATTTTGTTAAAGCAACAAGTGACATGGTAAGAAAAACTAAGATATATATTATAATTATTCTTCCTAAAGGAAGCCTCTTCTTCATTAACAAATAATTATATTCATTACTATGTTAAGTTTAAATTTGCAATAACAAAGCTCAGGTTGTTGCTCTCCCAATCTTCTAATATCTAAATTATCATTGGAGGGAGGGGGGGATCAGTGGAACCAAATGGTTGTCCACATGGCAGCAAAAGTAGATTTTAAAGAGAATGAAAATTCTAAAGACAGATTTTTTTGTTTCTATCGCCAATGTGCCCATTTGCAACCTTCAATATAGGTTTATGTGCCTCCTATCTCAAAATAGCAGGAAACCAATTTTCAGCCATTATGATGAGGAGCTTCAGGAGCTGAAAAAATGAAGACATGGGAGCTGCAAATGAGGTTCTGACACTGTAGGTTGTCCATCTCTGTGTTCAATCAATTTAAAATATATTATATCCCATTTTTTTGTTCTTCAAAGAATTCAAACAGGAAATGAGTTATGAGTTACATCTACAATAATTATATCTTGTATCATGAATCGCTTCTGGGCAGAAGGCTGCTAAACGAACATCTGATTTCATGCTCATTCATCCAGTAAACTGGTTGGCTGCAATAAATTTCAATTTCAAAATACTTTATTTTAAAAAAAATGATGTCAATGTGTTAGCCAAGAAAAGATTTCAGCTTTGCATTGAGCCCTAGAGAAAGCGACAGAAAGGATGAAATATATTTATGGCGGATTAAATTACTTTACTCTATACTGATTATAGTTAAAGACAGCATTCCAAGTACCTTTCGAAGTATGGTTATCCTTTAACAAGCAGTATAACTTTTCACATAATAGTCTCTTATTAAAGAATTTGTACCTCTATATGTACGAACTATAACCAGCGACCTATCTTTACATGTATGGAATGCACCATTCATGTATTATTGTGTGGTATTTGTTAAAATTAAGAGAAATGTAAAAAAGGAAACAGCACATTTAAGAGAAACACCAATTCCTTGATCCAAAACTACTGTATTTTGGATATCAGAGTATTTCCTAAAACTAAAATAGGTTAAAGAAGTATAATGGCCCACTTACTAGATTAGTACCGGTATCATTTATATGGCCCATATCAACATCTGGACTTTTGCCCTGGATCCCCAAATTAGAGTTAATGCTGTAGTACAAAGCCATTATTCTATCAAATAAGTTGGGTTAAATTTATTCAGAAGCTTTGTTTGAAAACAACTATAAGAGCGATTGTAAACAGCTTCTATTTCATCAGAATTAGTTAGCAAAACTGTTTTGAATATGTGCCTTATTTCCTGCACAATTGGCATCTCTTGTAAAGTCTTTTAAAGTTGAGCCATTTATCGAGTAACCAGCAGCTACTCCTCCAAGATCATATGGGAGGATAAGCAGAACGGAACACTCCACAATAATAATCAACATATTTACTCATATCTATAAGAAGAATTTTATGGGAAAACCAAATTCATCACTCTTTACAGAATTGACCTATTATATGATCCAGTCGGGACTTTTAATATTTTAATTAAAATTCAACTTTCTGTAGTATAAGCCATACTTACCAAATTTAAGCTGATCGGAGTATTTGCCTCTGGCACAGAATGGTTATGCCATGTTTCTAATAAATCATTCAAGTCAGCTTCCTATGTAAAATAAGATTTTTTTAAAAAAATATATTCAATAGACACAAAGACGTCATTTGCATTCACTGTATATCAAGACCAAAAATAAGTTCAGTCACTTTCTATGCAAACAGAAACAATCTCATTTTCCCTCTTTATTCTCAAGTGGACACATGAAAAATCCCATGGTTAATTTGTAAAATACTGCAGTCTTTCTATCTGTTAATCAAAGCTTTATGAATTATGATTAGATTTATAACAAAGCATATTCCTACATGAACATCCAAAGAAAAACATTTTATAAAGTAATGTATAAAACTATGAAACAAACATTGGTACAAGAATGCAACAAAAATAAACCAATGAACAGTACAAAAAAAGAGTAATACTACAGATGGAAAGGGCAATCAAGCCATATAAAAACCAAGCCAAAATAAAAATAAAATATGTATAGCACATGCCAGATTTATTTCCAGAACAAAGTTTTCTAAGAAACTGCAAAATCATTGAAAACTATACAATATAAAGAGCACTCTAGGTGCCTAATTTAAAAACTTTACAGCCTACCATTATAATCTAGATAAAGCAGAAATAAAATTAAAATATTATCATCAAGTCCATTGTTTCACTTTAAAAAATAGATTTTCTACAAACTACTATAGGGCCCAACATGTCTCTTTCGGTAGGTAATTCAACAAACATCGATACATTCCTGAATGATGCTCAATGATTTGATAATAGCCCTAGGATTAGAGTTTCTAAAGCTGCTCTTAGTATCCAAAGCGAGTTAATACTTTCCAGAAATTACCCCAAACTACCTAAATTACTTTTTTAAAATGTAGCCTTTCCAGGAATTCATTCTATATCCAAACCCATTTTAGAAAGAGCACTATATAAGCCAATTCAAGGGACATTGGAGGTCTTCTAGTCCAGTGGTTCCCAAACTTGGCAACTTTAAGACTTGCGGACTTCAACTCCCAGAATTCTCCAGCCAGTTCTGGGAGTTGAAGTCCGCAAGTCTTAAAGTTGCCAAGTTTGGGAACCACTGTTCTAGTCCAACCGACTGCTAAAGCAGGAGACACTACACCACACTTCGCACAGGTAGCTATCAATCTCTTCTTAAAACCCTTCTGCATCCAAACTTCTGAAGTCTTGATTTCTATCTTTACAGTTCACCTATTTCCGGTTTCACAAATAACTTATAGTAAGTCTTACTAAGCATAAACAAATGACAAACATTGAATAACATTATCTCTATTAATATAAATTGTGTCACTTTCTTGCCTTTCTTCAGCAAATTAATTTAATATTTTATAATAAAAGTATTAAAAGTGTCCACACTCAAATTCTATCCCAGGGTGTAATCCTGAAGTATAATTTCTAGCATAGAAGTGTCATTCAATTTCCCTACTTAAAAAGGTTTTTAAATTATTAAGCTATTTATTTTAAAGAAACGTAATAATAGCAGTAACCTAAAATATATGTAATTCTTGATTTTTTTTCAAAAAAAGGAACTACTTTCTTAATATCATTGATGATTAGCAGTTCTTCAGAAAGTCATTTCTATTTAATAGCAACAAAATTACCTGTTCTTTAGCTAAATATTCCGCCAGTGTATTTAAAAGTTTGTAGTACATCTCAAACCATGGCAAATAGCTGAAAAGACAAACAGAACACTTGTAAGAGAAGGAAGCATTATTTAAAAATTATTTCACTGTAATGCACTTTTTGAAAAACCTTAAGCAAGTTTGGATACAGAAGTGGAAAATTCACAAGAAAAGATAACTTTGAAAATATTTTAAACCACATAATAAGAAGCAATGTTAAAAAATACTCTGACTACAATTCAAGTTTTGATTAAGCACCTTCTCTCTGTGGGAAAGGAACAGTTTTTCTTATCTACCTAGCTTACATGACATTGATACGGAGTTAGTGTCCTGGGAAGTATTGGCAGGAGAAAATTCAATCCAGACCTTACGTGAGGCCATCATATTCCTAAAGCACTCAAAAGTTTTTTTTTAAAATCAGAGCAATTTCCTTCTATGTCATTTTTCAAGTATTCTGATATTTAGTGGAAATGATTTTTAATTAAATATATTTTATAATTAAACAGTATCAGCAAACAGTCAAAGATAAATATAGCTTTAGTCAGTACTGCAAACAATAATCAAATATCCTACTAATACACTCATTTAATCCACCTCTGCTCCCTCTTAACCCATCAGTCAAGGTTCAAGAATAGGTCCTGCTTTCACAGAAATGTGGATTTTTCTATATTTGTCTAGTGACAATAAATCCAAGACTAATTTCAATGGAAACCTGAAGTTTCTTCACTCTCTAGAACACATTAATGGTTGTTTTAAATTTGCTTTTAAAAAAATCTCTTTTGTAACTAAATACTTTAAAAAAATCTTCTTTTAAAATAGAGCATATTTTGAGTCTATTTTGTTTTTTATTCTCAAAAGAATATTCACAATATTCAATATTCACCATCCTTTAAAAATCTGTAATTTCAACATTTTTAAAAGACCAGAGTTCCATTTTACGGTTGAAATACCTCAATAGCAACCATTAAATATTTTTTAAAAGCAACCTTAAATTGTTAAGTGAATGATAGCTAAAACTATTATAATGTACCTTCTATACTTTTATCCACACATTTGTCCAATATTTTCATTTATAAGATTAAGATCATCATGCATTCATTAGGCCATCATGTTTTATGAAAAAAATGCGCCAATTTTTCACACCCAAGGATCCGTGAAAGAGAGTTACGCTAGGCAAATGCAGACTTCCTCCGGTACTTATTCCTCGCATAGCCCACAATAATGTCCAACCATGTTCTGGAAGCCTCCTCAGTCAGACATTTTGCCATACTTCCTCCCCTCATTTCCCTCAACTACATGATTTTATTTTATTTTTACTGTGGAGCTTCCATCCATTCAATAAAGATACACATAAATCCTTTCTAAAATCTGGTTACAAGGACTGGAATGCGTTGAGTTGAGGCACATATATGATAAGTCATAATGATGAGGAACACAATTAGGATTTAAATAAGTTCAAGATAGATACCACTGAATCTAGATAAATATTTAGCAATAATCACACAAAGGTCAACTCACAAAACTGGCTCAAATGGATGGAATAAATTTCAGCAGGTTAGCAAACGTTTCAACAATTTTGCTGCCCACTATATCAAACCAAAAGTTGGAAACAGCATCTGCAAAATGAATCATGGATGCGGCTGTGTATTGCTTTTAATATCATTAGATGCTACCCAATATAGTCCATGCCTGTCATATAAACAATCACATGCGATATTTCGTTACTAATGAAAAACGTATTTAACATATTCTTTTAATCCAGTGAGCTGCCAGTCAGGCATTTCAGCCTTCCTCTCAAGACAGTCCTCGGCTTTGTTGCACAAGGTCGATTTCCAGCTCTCTCGCACTTCCACTACAATTCTGATAACGCTTTTATATTCACAAGTCAAAGGTTAAATAAAGGAAAGGAAATGTTTTCTGTCAAACAGTCAGGCAACCACTAACAGTCCTGAACTATCAGCAGGAATCTTAACTTCTAGTATTCAAATAAAACTAAGGAAACTGCCTTTCCGCAGCTAAGTGTCTTAATGTCCGGGGGCTACTCTCTGTCTGGGAAATTGACACAAAATGTGTAAAATTGAAACATTCTGTTTCTGGCGGATTTGCTTGAAGTGGAGGATGGGGGTGGGAATGCTTCAAACAGTCTAAGATAAAGAACTATACAGGGCGGGGCATAACCTTTTCCTAGGGGGTCACAGCAACACTTGTAATAACAACACAAATAATTCATACACCATTCGAAAGTCCATCAAAAACTGAGTTTATTGACACGATTTAATAGTCAGTATGACCACCATTAGCCCTTCGAACAGCATTCAAACGAGGTGGATAAGAACACAACAAATCTTCAAACAGTTCCGTTCGATTTTCCAGATTTTTCAACACAGTTTCCAAATTCATTCTCAAAGTTTAACCGAATATCGATTTTGACCTTGCTCCTGAATCATCAGAGCTTCCACTTCATCCTTAATTATGGCCCCAATGTTCTCTGCCGGATTGAGATCTGGCGAATTGAGATCTGGCTCCAGCATCGCGAGCCTCTCGAAAGGCAATGCATTTTATTCTGTCAATGATCCTTTGTTCTTCCGAATCGAATTTTCCAGCCATTCTTAAAGCAAATTTAACATTTAATAGCTCATTCAATTCAGTTTTTTATGGGCTTTAAAATGAGGTGTCGCGGAAGTTGTAAACTGCTGTCGATCTTGCTGTGACCCCCTAGGAAAAGGTTATGCCCCGCCCTGTAGTACAAAGACTTCCAAATAAACCAATCTATCATGATAAAAAGTCATTTAGAAATCTAAGGTATTATGTTATAATAAATTTTCATTAATCATTTTCTAGGTTGAACATTTAAATGATGACATAGCAATTTCTAAAAATGCAATAAGTTTAACAGAAAGCTAAATAGCACTAATTATACCAGTTAAATTATTGTAATTTAGGACCACTATATTGGAATTATTGGGGGGCATCACGGGGCCTCAGTGGTTAAGGCGCTAGGCTTACTGGCCGGAAAGGTACCAGCCCAGGTTCAAGATCCAAGCTCCATGTGACAATGTGAGCTCCCGTCCTCATTCCAGCTTCTGCCAACCTAGCAGCTTGAAAGCATACAAGCATACATGCAAGTAGATGTATAGGTACCACTTCGGTAGGAAAGTAACAGTGATCTATGACGTCCTGCTGGCCACATCACCGTGAAAATGCCTTCAAACAGTTCTGGTTCAATGGCCCTGAAATGGATCTGAGCACCACCCCTTATGGTCAGTAATGACCGGCAGAGTAAAATTTGCAGGGATTCCTTGACGTTATATTAGAACTATTAGAAATATTTCTATCTGACTTTCTTATGCCAACATTATATACCCAGCTCAAACAAATTTCAAAAGTAATCTTGTAACAGCGTTTCATGTTACTGAAATTTACAATGACGTTAAACAAGTACAAGAACTCCCTGACTTGTGATCATAATTGAGCCTGGAATTACAATTGTAAATTTTGACAGTTGTTAAGCAGGTGTGGTAGAATTTGGTGCAGAGTCACAGCCTGGAATCCTTGATACGCAAGAAAAGGCTCAAAATGAACCTTCCCTAATCTTTCACGTGGTATATAAAATAAATAGATTGAACTCTAGTCTGCAAAGATTAATGTCAGGCACAAGGAACCAAGAATGACAGGAGGATTTACTCAAAATTGTTTCTTTATTATTGCTTGCCCATAGACAGGAATTTTTAGCCAATGAGCATTTTTTTTGGCAGAAACCAGAAGTAAAAATAATGCTGAAAGTTGTGATCATGTGACTACGGGACACTGAAAATTGATATAATTTTATTTATTTTATTTTATGTATTTATTTATTTATTCCTCCTTTATTATTTTTACCAACATATCCAACACACAGTGGGGCAAAAAAGTATGCCCCACAGCGTAACCAGGGTTCGAGATCAACAACCTTGTAACCCTGGAGTAATCAAGCTGAGGTTCATATTTAAAACCAGACAAATACTTATTAGTCCAAGGCATTGATCTTATTTGTGACTTATTAACATAGGAGTTATTAGATGTATACTTTTTTACAGCCTGTCTACTGACTTGGGGATGAGTTTGACGATACTTGTGTGCAGCTTCACTTACTTGTGTTTTCCTAATCACATCTGTAAATGTTTTTCTGAGGTTTTTGCCTCTTTTCCCTTTAACTGGTGTTACAGTAGAAGGAACAGATTCATCTAAACTAAGGAGGAAAATAAGGGGGAAATCTGCCTCTGCCTACCAGCATCCATCGGTATTCAACTGGTTAGCGTCCTGTCAGTGTGTGAGAGAGTTGAGTGGTGGTGTTTGGAAATTCAAACAGTATCTTCTTTGTGAGCAAGAAAGAGACAGGAAGAGCCTGAGCATGACTTAGCTCAACTGTTCTGTAGTAAAGTTGCTTGCTGCTGTAAAAGTAAAACTGAAACTCCTCTCCTCTGCTCATGTTTTGCATTTGGAACAGGTTTCTTTTCAGGTGGGGAGGGGGAGCAGAACTCCTTAGCATGAGAGCACGTTAATAATAATATAGGAAATACTAAAGCTCTTATGGTCATTTCGAAAAATCCTTTCTTAAGTGAGCACCTAGAAGCCAAGAGTAATATACATTGATGTCTGTAGGCTTTATCTAGATTTGGAGATTTTGTGATTATGCATTAGTAGTATTTCTCTTTCTCTCTCTCTCTCTCTCTCTCTCTCTCTCTCTCTCTCTGTTTTTCTTCTGTCTTCTCTCTCTCTCTCTCTCTCTCTCTCTCTCTCTCTCTCTCTCTCTCT